TGAACACGCGCGGGAATTAGTGTGTGTGAAACGGACATGAGGACGAGAGGCACAGCATTTATGGTTACCGTACGTTTGGAATAGAACGGTGCCGGAGCTTTTCGGCACATCCCACTCGGTGGCTGATTTTTTATCTGATCTTGATCCTGTGATATACTTAGATGGCTGAGGAGTGAACCAACCAGCAACGGTGCGTTCATGTGCGTGTGTGTGAGAGAGATCTGGTTCAAACACCCCCTCTAAACCACTGACGTCGTTGAGGACTGGCTTCCATTATTTCCCTCTTATTCCGTCCTTCACTGTGACTCGTCGCAACCATGGGCCTCGAGCTGTTTTCCGTCCCCGTCTTCGTCGTCGTCTTCCGCGAGACGCTCGAGACGGCCATCATCGTCTCGGTCCTCCTCGCCTTTCTCAAGCAGACGCTCGATGGCGAGCAACGAGACAAAAGGCTATACCAAGCCTTGCGCGCTCAGGTACAGAGCACCATCTCACTATGTTGCCTTATTCAATGCTGATGCACGCACACAGGTCTGGCTGGGCACCGCCGTCGGCTTCGCCATCTGCCTCGTCGGCTCAGGCGTCATCATCGGCATCTTCTACCTGCTCGGCACCGACGCCTGGGCCGACCATGAGTACTACTACGAGGCCGTCTTTTCCCTCATCTCCTCCGTCATCATCACCATCATGGGCGGCGCCCTGTTGCGCGTCGCCAACATGCAGGAGAAGTGGCAGGCCAAGCTGGCCAAGGCCATCGAGGCTCCCATGCGCGCCCGCGGCAACCAGGCCTGGCTTGTTCACTTCTTTGAGAAGTACGCCATGTTCGTACTGCCTTTCATCACCGTGCTCCGTGAAGGTATCGAGGGCATCGTCTTTGTCGCAGGCGTGTCCTTTTCCGCCCCGGTCTCTGCTGTCCCTCTGCCCGTCGTCATGGGACTGATCCTCGGAGGCTTGGTTGGATATGGCCTCTACCGGTGAGTTCCTACTGCCACCACACGTGCTGAGCGTCATTGGCTAATTCTGTCAGGGGCGGCTCTTCCGCAAAGCTTCAAGTGTTCTTGGTGGCTTCCACTTGTCTCCTTTACCTCGTCGCAGCAGGCCTCTTCTCGCGAGGCGTCTGGCTCATCGAGCAGCAACAATGGAACAAGGTTGTCGGCGGCGACGCAGCCGAGCTCGGCGACGGCCCTGGCTCCTACGACATTGACCGCAGTATTTGGCACGTCAACGTAAGTCTCTCTCCATCCGCATGGTCCAATGCTGGATCCTAATCGTCATCAGTGCTGCAATCCTCAGCTCAACGGAGGCGGCCCCTGGGCCATTCTCAACGCCATCTTTGGCTGGAACAACTCGGCGACGTACGGTTCCGTGGTTGCTTACAACATTTACTGGCTTCTTGTCATCGGCCAGTTCAGCACCATGCGCTTCAAGGAGGATCACGGACATTGGCCTCTCCAGAAGCCGAAGGAGAAGCGTTCCGACGACGACGAGCAACACCTCGTTGCGGAAGACGAGTAAAGATGAAGGCTGGCACTCAGCCCATTATGTGAATGAATCCCGCATGGGCGATAGACGGCGTAAGGCAGAGCCATGAAGCCGTTCAGCAACGTGACTGGCCTCGACGACCAAGAAATGATGCATGCATTGATCTGAATAGAACCATAAGCATCACAGGAGTTATTGTTACAATTGTCAAACAAATAGAATAAACAAAATCTGAAAGCTACCCCAGGCGTCTTGCGCCCCCCTGCTTCCCTTCGTCCCCTGGCTCAACAGCTCGCCGAAACAATATTTACCCCATATCATTATTCGATCGCATGCCATGGCCGCTCACCACCATGTCTTGTCCCCCTATATATTCCGTCTCTTCCTTCGTGTATCGTATTCGCTTCGCTTGTCTCCATGTGTCCGTTCAAGCAATATCCGGGACGACGATTGATATACAACATGTTCAGCTTTGCCTAAACCGTCAATGTATTCCCGCTGCTCCTTTTACTCGCCATCAGCCCTAGCCTTCTTCCTCGGACGTCCAGGACCACGAGCAATCCCGCGCTTGAGCTTCGGAGCTGGAGCCTCTGGAGCAGAACCATTCTTGGCCTCGTACTTGATGAGTTCCTCAGGCGCGATTTGCGCAAGCTTGCTCTCGTGCTCCCATGTCGACTCGCTTTTACGGTAGCCCACCCACTGCACCTGGTACATGTATTCCTTCTTCTTCCCCTTTGGTGGCATCGTCCGCTTGAGGACGCGGAAGACGTGATATATTTCCAAGCCAGTTGCTGCTTCACGCCCGTCGAGATCGTCCCAGTATTTGTAGATGAGCGCAGGGACTTGTTGCTGAAGACTCCATTCCGGCTCCCAGGTTTGTTCGCCGTTGGCCCACTTGACCAGGACATCTACCGTCGCATTGTCTTCGTCGACGCGATGGGTCTCGAACGATTCAATCTCGACTTCGCCAAGATCCGCGACAGTATCGAGATGGGCAGGCTCGGCTGCGGCGGCTTCGGCTTCTTGGGGCTCAGCGACGGGTTCTGCGGGTTCTGCAACGGGCTCGACGACGGGCGCTACGATGGGTTCTGGCTCGGGCTGCTTTTGGAGGGTTTGGGGGTCGATCGAATCCTGTTTCGGAGGAGGGACAATGGGCTCGGAGATGGTAATTTCGGGTGCAGGCGCGACGGCAGCAATGACGGTGGTGTCGACAGTCCGCTCGTACCGATCAATGTCGATATCGCGGATGATGTCGCGGCCGATGCTGCTATCTCGAGCAGGCGTCATGACTCTGCCACCGGAGGGAGTGTTTCTGCCTTCAGTCTTTTTCTTTGCCTTCATCGGCGAAGGTGGAACATCATATGGATCTAAAGACGCGATGGCGAGATTAGCAAGGGCAGGTTCGCGCGCAATGATTATCGCGGTTAGGCGCAACGGTCAGGAGAGGCGCGTAATTACCAGCTGGACCGGGGGGCGGCGGGAACATGATGGTGCTTAGCGAAGAGCTCATGGCATCGAGCTTGTGGGATTTGGATGGATGCAATCGCGAGAAGGTGTCGACACGGATGCAGAATGTCCCGCAAGCCGGTTGAGAGTAATTAATTGCGTCACAGTCGAGGAAGCTGGTGATGGGGCTGGACGCGGTTCGTTGGCTGCTCAACGCGTTGGTCTTAATTGCACCATTTGACACTGCCACAATCCCTCCGCCACAGCGCTAGCTGACGGACATGGGGGTTGGTTGAATCTCAGCCACGGCGCCATCTCGTCTCAGCGATGATACCAGGGTTAATTCTTGGTAAATCACAAGGTAGTGGTTGTCTTGTGCTGCTTGACATGTCACGAGCGTAATCAGATTCTCATTGACAGTTGGATGGTGAATAACCAACCCAATCTCCGCCTTCGTTCAATCTGAGGTGCACTGCAAACGCCTTGCTGTGAGCCTCTGAGTGGGTACATCACAGCCAACCGCGAGAAATACACACGAGGGAGAAGCACTTCGTAAATATGTCATTGATTCCAATTAACGCGGGCAGTCTAGACTTTTCTCTTGTTAGAATTCCCCGGATATCATGGATCGATCCCCACGTGACAAGCTCGTCCTGCGAGCCCAAAGTAACGACCCCTGGAGTCGGACCCATCACCGGAAGTCAAATGGTTGCTGCACCAAATTCAGATGCCCACACCAGCATATGGGAAACTGTAAGGAATTTTAATTCTCAAATTCTATCAAGAGCTATCGTAATTTTAGCTCAAGGTTAAATCAGGCTAAGACTTAGATTAGGAGTCGAGTAAGGACTTGGATGAGAACTCAGGTCAGAGCCGATGACATAGTAACGCCGCGATCGAGATGGCGATAAGGAATAGAGGGATAAAGCCCAGGAGAATGCCTCCAATCACGAGAACAAGATGTCAAATGGGAATGAGTACAATGACAAAGGAAAGGGCGAAACGAAGAAAGGAAAAGGTGGTAATAAGTCCTACCCCCACCCACCCCAAGCAGGCTACTCATGAGCAAGCCAACACCGACCAGTCCGAGGCTGATGGCATGGGGGGCTCAGGAATAGACTTCGATAATACGACTTGGCACCATCAACTAATTACCGTAAATATCTTCAGTGAGATAAGCAAGATGATTATCGTAATGATTGCGCATATGTCGCAGTTCCAGTCCAAATAGCGGCTGAAGATCGTTCGAGTGTTTTTGAGTTAAGGTACCTACGCGAAGAAATATATGCTAACTGCCTGGGTATGTCGCCAGTTACTTCACGTTCAATGGCCACACCTAGTGGCCCAGGCGAAGTTATTATTCCTCAATGGTTACAGTTCACGGCTAATAAAGTAAGATAGGCAAAGAAATTTAGATTCTCTAAACAACTCATCTAAACAAGGAGAGAACAACCAAACATTCGTTTGAGATCTCACAATGCGCGATACCGTTACCCTAGAGGTAAACCACCCCCTCAAAAAAAGAAAACATGGGCAATGGGCAGTGCAATTTAAACGGAGCAATAATTATACTTCATTTCTAACTAAAGCTCAAAAGTAAGTGCCTGGGCCTGCTCAGTCTGCTAATGTCTGGTTTGTGGCTGAACAAGGAGTCGACTGACTCATGTCGTGCGTTCGAACAAGTTGCAACTTTGCAAGAAGCAGGATCCAATCGCCAGTGACCAGTCGCTGTTGTAATAGCCGATTCAACCAACCAACTTGCACTTTCAATTTCATAGAAAAAGGCTAGTTTAATCAAATAGGTAAACAATCGCTCCCCGGGATGGGCGGCCAATGCACCTTCCGACAGAATGGAATGCGTGTGTCGCCTCGGGTTGGCGCGCAGTTGTGGTAACCATCCCATCCTCTTGTGCAGCGATGAGGGTCATGCAGAGGGCTACGATAATTTCTCACACTCATTTGTGAATATTGAGTTGAAGATGGATGCAAAAAGATATTTCCCACGACGTTACGACACGACAACCGACAAGACGCAGAGAGATAAATGTGAAATGGATGCAAAAAGTAAATTTGAGGGGCTCCATCGGGATTCGAACCCGAGGCCTCAGCCAATCTTTGAGCAAGCAGAGTCCCAAAGGCTGAATCATACCACTAGACCATGGAGCCAGTTGTGATTATATCTGAGCTGAACTTATTGTGATATATGACAGGTAATTCCATAGGGGATCCGAACGAAAGGGCCCCCAGGCGCGAAAAGCATTTGAAATGCGCTCAGAATTTCCCAAGAATCTTTCACTCTTTGGATCTCCCATTCTCAAAAATGCCATCTCAAACTCCGCCCGTCATAGCCAGCCTATTCGCCCTTGATAACCGACACTGTTACACAAGACGACCCCTTTTTGCCGTTTCTCACCGCCTCAGCCTGGTCTAAGACATTCGAGTCAATCGAGACACTCCTCCCTGTCATCTCTGTTGTTGCCTTGTACTGACGCTGTGTTGAGATTAATGCTTCTATCGACCTTTCTTGGACCTTTAATACCCAAGCCGACGCAATGAGCCAGAAAGATGCGCAACAAGACGACGACTCCATGTCCGATGGGTCCAGTGGACAGGGGCCCATGGCCCTCAAATACGAGACGGTGGAAGAGAGATTTGGAATAACCCGAGATCAAATGATGCAAATGGCCATCATGGACTTGACACAGAGAGTCCTCGATTGGAAAGGGCACAAAATAGAGGACTTCGGCAAGCTCATGTTGTATGATCGTGTCCCAATTTGTGCATCACATCGACCTAGCTTCAAACTGGTATGATCCGCGAGTCAGCGAGAGTGATGATTGTTGAGACATTAACCTGATTGATGACTAGTATATCGTATACCTCTTTGAGAAACTGATTCTTTGCTGTAAAGAGAAGAACTATTCTGCCGAGGAATTAGCTGCAAGGGGCTTACAGGCACCTGCTCCGTCTACTGCGGATATCGACAAACTGATGAAGGATGTTCTGTCACGACAACCGCAATCCGATCCTGAGAAGCCGGAAGACAAACCGGAAGATATACCAGAAGAAACCTCGAAGGAGAAGTCAGAAGAAGAGCCGAAAGAGCAGCCGGAAGAGGAAAACGACCCCTACCTCTTTTTGCAAGGCAGAATCTTTGGCAACTCCATCACCGATATTATGAACTTTACGACAGAAGGTAAACCGCCCCACTATCCACGACTCGATCTGATTTGCCGTTCTGAACTTTCAATAGAAGCCTACGTAGTTGAGATCTTCTGGACGTCCGATGACGGCAAGGACCATTACTTCTCCATGCACTTTGAATACAGAGAAGACATGGAAAGCTGGACAGATGCATTGGTGGCAATGAATGAGATGAATCCCACGCCAGCCCAGGAACAGGCGGACAAAATAGTAAGGGATAAAACAATAAAGCCCGTCTAAATATGCCACGGTGCGGGCTGCATGGTTGAAACCTCGAAGATTTTCAACTGGATATCATCAGTGCTGCAAGGGTTTCGGATCAACAATTAGATTTGAAGAGAGCTCGGAAACGGACCAAATGTGTAAACTCTCGAGAGAAGTGCATGCAAATGCTAAATGGCCAAGGGTTATCCGCGAATCGCAGCATGGTTGTAAGGAGAAGAAGCGTCAATATCCCCAAATCGAGAGAAAATTGAGAGCAAGAACTAGGCAACATCTGTCAAGCACTTAACTCTGCACAAGCGCTCGAATCAGAGTGTCAAGCCCGTGTCTGGAAGAGTCTGAAAAAAAAAAAAAAAAAGACTGCATTGTATACAAGAAATTCGCTGACAAGAAGTGCCATCGAAATAACCTCACCCGCGCAGGGGTTGGTCCCGCCCTCATGCACACATCAAGAACACGTCCACTTCACATGCCTCACCGAGGAAATCATATCAGGTTACCAAGGATTACCTACCGAGCCGAAATGTACCGCCTTCCTGTATAGGTCAGCCCGGCTCTTTTGTCCTCGCCGCGCGATCGAAATAGCTGCGCATCGTCAAGGGTTGGCGGCCTTGGCCTTCGCACGTCATACCCGCCATGGCCAACAACCGTTAGGCCGGGAACGAACTGCAGCCAATGGGTTTGTAAACTCGCTTGGCCAAGTCAATACGTGATGTGAATGTTGGGAACTTATGATATTGGATCATCAAAAGACTGCTGAGAAAAGGGCGTAGTGGCTGCCACGACAAGATGACTGTGGCCAGCGATGTTGGTGAGCACTGGTCTGATATGATGACAATTGCCTGAAGTTGATGCAATGCCAGTAGGCCAACTGAAAGACCTGGAAGTGCATGAAACATTGAATCCGCTTATACGTTGCATGCATGATATACTCGGGACACGCCGAAGGATGCATGGCCTCGCGTCGATCACGGTTACGACAATGAGACCTGGTCACTCCACGATCGAGACCTCAAACCATGAAAAAACTTGCTCGGGTTTGTCCGTCTGTTCGCGGCCCTCCCATCCTGTTAGTATCACATCACATCATGGCACCGGCCCAACCGTTTGGTCAAGTCGGAATGCTCAGTGTAAGCCGCGTACCAGCCGGACGGATAGTCGACTCCGTCCAAATTAATATTCCCCCCATGCCGGGCCCGGCAGACGAAGCTATTCTGTACAGAAGCGGAAGGTGAGCAAAGGCATTACCAAGTGGAATCAAGGCGTTGGGAGCCTTTGATGCCTTGACGGTCTCATCCCAGGAGCCGCATGCCAGATGAAGTCTCGGGGTGGGTAAAATTTGCAGCGGCGCCGGCTGTGATTGGTGTTGCAACTGGGGCCTTTGCGATCACATCAGATCGCGCCATCGACCCGGTCGTCCCCAAGAACGAAACCATGACACATTCGCTGCCCACGTTGGACAGGGGCATCATCTGGGAGTGCCCGGAGCCTCTGCAAACCTCGGAAAGCCGCGTCTTCCCGTTGCCCCCGAAACCTAGGCGGTTCCTATTCGGCGCTTCTGCTGCTGCTGTGTCGCGAACCGCCCCAACGATGACACGATCTAGTCTCGCGGCCCCAGGCCCGAGCCGCGGACACGCTTACCTTCTGGCTCGTTTCTAGACTCTTTGCCCCAAGGGCGAGAAGCTCTGTGCTCCCCAGGGGTCTGGGAGAACGGTGCCACTCTGATGGAGCCTTTTACGTTTCTGCGTCCCGCGCTCGAGGTTTAAGGCGGCAGCACAACTATTTTATAAGGTCATGGAATCCCAACTTTGTGGATGAACTTTATATTCCATTCCTTACTCAGGTCTCCTCTTCTTCCTCTCTCTCCTTTCATACTTTGGCTTGTTCAATACTCCTGCCGTCAACTATGAGCCACGACGACGACCCGAAAGGCCCTGCGCCCTACGATGGCACCAAGCAAGATGGCCACTCCTCCAACGCCGGCTCTGATACCGAAGCTGGTGCGTTCAACAGCTGATATCAGTGACAATACATCTTGCCAGCCTTACTAACCCTGGTCCCATAGGCCGTCAAAATGCTGCAAGCGATGCCAAACGCCAGATCGGTATCCTCAGTGCATGCATGCTCATCTTCAACCGAATGATCGGTACCGGCATTTTCGCGACTCCGTCCTCCATTCTCGCACTCACTGGCAGCACTGGTTTGTCTCTGTTCATGTGGGTTGCCGGCGCCCTGATTGCTTTTGCCGGCACGGCCGTCTATCTCGAATTCGGTACTGCTCTTCCCAAGAACGGAGGTGAGCTCAACTACTTGGAATATGTCTACCGGAAACCAAAGTTCCTCCTTACTGCCATGTATGCTGGCTACGTCATCCTACTGGGTTGGGCTTCTGGAAACTCGGTCGTCTTTGGCGAGTACATCCTCCACGCTGCCCAGGTCGACGTCGACCGCTGGAACCAGCGTGGTGTCGGCCTGGCCTGTATCACCGTTGCTTTCCTCATCCACGGCACTGCTCTGAAGTGGGGTATTCGTCTCCAAAACGCCCTCGGCATCATCAAGATCATCATCATCATCATCATCATCCTGGGAGGCTTCGTTGCTCTCGGCGGACACCTCAAGATTGACGAAAAGCCCAACAACTTCCACAACGCCTTCGAGGGCACCACCGGAAGCGCCTACGGTGTCGTCACTGCCCTGTACAACGTCATTTGGAGCTTCGTTGGTTACAGCAACGCCAACTATGCTCTGAGCGAGACCAAGAACCCTGTGCGCACCCTCAAGATTGCAGCTCCCGTCGCCATCATCACCGTTTCCATCCTTTACATGCTCGTCAACATTGCCTACTTTGCCGCCGTGCCCAAGGCCGAGATTCTGGCCTCGAAGCGCCTCGTCGCTGCTTCTCTCTTCCGAAACGTCTTTGGCGGCACTGCCGAACGCGCCCTGTCCGTCTTTGTCGCCTTGTCTGCGTTTGGCAACGTCCTTAGTGTCATCTTCTCCCAGGGCCGGCTTGTGCAGCAGCTTGGTCGTGAGGGTATCTTGCCCTTCTCTCGCCTCTGGGCCAGCAACCGTCCTTTCAACGCTCCTCTTGCTGGTCTCTTTGAGCACTGGGTTGTCTGCGTCGTTGTTATCCTCGCGCCCCCCCCTGGTGATGCTTACAACTTCATTCTCAAGTAAGTTCAGAATGCAATCGCCCCTATAATCATATACTGACCTTGATAGCCTCATTTCCTATCCTCTCGCCATCGTCAACGCCACCGTTGCTGCTGGCCTCGTCCATCTTTACCTCAACCGTGAGGCCTGGGGCTGGAACCCACCGATCAAGGCCACCCTCCCTGTCGTTGTCTTCTTCATGCTCAGCAACATCTACCTTGTCATTGCCCCATTTGTGCCCCCGGAGGATGGCCAGAACGTCTACGAGGATCTGCCCTACTGGATTCACTGTGTCGTCGGCTTCGCTGTCCTCGCCGCTGGTGGTGTGTATTGGCTGTTCTGGGCCAAGATTCTTCCCAAGCTCGGCCACTACGAGCTCACCCGAGAGACTGTCGTTGATGAGATCGATGGTTGGGAGGCAAGTGTCTTTGTCAGGAAGCCTCTCAGTAACTAAATACTGCCTCCGTTCGCCTCAATTAGCATAATCAGTTACAATTAGCGTATTTTAATTAGAAAGAGCACATATCAGCGTCAGCTATGAGATTAAGTGTCTAATAATTGTTCGTCGCTCGCGATATGTCCGGTCTAGC